ACGTCGTGTAACAAGAGGCCATGCAAAGGGGTTGAAGAGTCGCGAAATTGTGGAGGGAAGCAACGACGAATGACGTGGCCATTGTAACATAAGAGTTTTCTTCTCCACTTTCTCTCTTCCTTTCTCTCTGCCGTCACTCGTGCATTTCTGAGACTGCATTGTGATCGACTGGAATCAAGCTGCCCGCCTCCTAATTTAAGTATCATTCTTAAAATCCTGTCCAGACGAAAATTGCGAGGATATCGAATTTGAGGTATTCTTCTGATTCTCTCCGCGATAAAATAATAAATTAATTATTGTCGTTATCTTGTCGTTATCTTGAGTATTATTATATATTTGTCATTGGGAGACTTACAGCTAATCAATCGTATATACATATATACCAATTGATACCTGAGCGTTCTAAATTTCTCCGGCAGCTTTCGTAATGATGCACGAATGTTTTGTAAGGCGATGCGTTAAGGATTTCACTCGCAGTCTACGCTTTTGGCAGGATTGAAAGTGGCGAAGGCTCATTAAGAAGTCTCCCTCCCGACAAACTTGCAAACGGGATCCTTCGACGCACACACACGAGACACCAGATCGCGGGAAGGAAAGAGGAGAGGAAAGGGGAGGGCACCCGGTATCGGAGCAGCATCTCCCTGCTTTCTCAATCCTCATTTAGTTGCACAATGAGACGGTATAGGGGAGACGCGAGCAGGAACAAAGAAAGTGCCGGGCTCTCTTCCGCAACTTTCGCGGGAAAACGCAACGGGTGTCGCGCATCACCGAGGGTGCCGAGAGCACCCTTCTCTCCAGAGGGGGTCGCGCCAGCCTTGCTTTTGACGTTGTGCGTACGATTACGAGTTTGATTGGTTATTTATGGGGCGCGGTGGAAATTACAATTCGACCCTCGCGTTTACAAAACCGGTGATAAATCTTTTTGCCATAAACAGGCACAATCCTCTTATGCGCTTTCTACTTGATGTGATATGAAAAATAGAGTTATAGAAGAGCCCTCTCGAGTAATAATTTATTTCGAATTTATCCAAAAAAAAGTATTAACACAGAACAAAATTTGTCAACATTATATGTTTTATATTTTTTGTGAATATAACATAATTTTTTGTGATATGAACATTTTCTTCATATAACTAGTATTTATCTATAAAATCATTAAAACATTCATTTTTTGATTGACATGTTATACATTTATATATACGGATTGTTTTAATCTTTTAACTTAATTCACAAAAATAGTTATCGCTCGGACAAAAATATGATCGAGAGAAAAAGAGCGAAATTTATTAGCGCATTAATCTACATAATCCTCTTTTGGTCAAACCGCGTAACGCGATTCCGAAAATATTGCACTAACGTCGCCTTTAGAGTGGAAACAATCTGCGTCCTGCATATCTACACATGTGTATCGTGGCTGTTTACGCTCTGGAAACAATGATTCACCAACGAACGAGCGAGAGACGCCGTTGTTTCGCTTTGGTCGATGTGTGTCTAGCGTGCGAATAATGGACGTGGCCTGACGATGCTTCTGTCTTCGGAACGAAATAGCACTAGGGGCTTTAAGGGAAGATTGAAATTTTCCGTGCTAAACGTACAGAGTCGCAAGATGCAAACAGGTATACTCTTCGCGCCCTCGTCTCTACTCTGCAATTTCACTTTGTGTTCGACTCAAAGACCTCACACGTAAAACATGCTTTGTGCAGCCTCGAATAAATTTCGAGAATTGTTGTATTTATTAAATTTTCAGCTACCGGATGCTCACCGTTTTATATGAACGCAATATTTGTAAAATCGCGAGTAAGAACAACAGGTTCACATATGTCCGAATTTGCGTTCGCGTGTAAAATATTATGAAAAAGCATCCAGCTATACGACAATCGTGGGAGTCGTAACGAGAGTTTTCGAGAAAACTGGTCAGGGAATTCTCTTTAGATTGCGCGAAATATTTATAGGCGAGGATTCCACGAAGTGAGTCAGAAAGAAAATAAGAAATCTTGTCTCGTGAGAAACTGAAAAGATGTGAAAAATCAATATTTTACAGACGCGACTTAACGTATTTGATACAAGCGCATTTCGCGAATAAAATCATTCTCAAATTTATTCTCTTTTATTATGATATATTTCTCTCGCTTGATTTGGTAATTTTGTTTTCAGATTCTCCATATGTTTCTGGAATTTATAGTAAATTATACTGGTAATACGCGCGACCGACTGAATAAAAAGGAAGCACTTTTTCCAAATATATTTCGTCGTATAAATTTTTTTATAGCGTCATGAGATATATTTTATCGCAGAACGTGGCTTTCTTTGTAAAATAAAATATTTAAGGCGTCTTGTGCCCCGCACAACAATGGCTCTTGCCATTCTCGGCAGCTTCATACATGCTCATCTCAATTTTCTTTTCGCGACACAATCTCTCGTCGCGTGCGTGCAATATTACGTGAATCTTCGCGGCGCGACTACAACCGTACTCGAGATATTCCTCGCGAGGAATTCCCGGGTCCTGAGTAGCTTCCTTTTCGTTTCCATGGTGATCCATATAGGGCACACGCGAGCTTGGAGAGCTTATCGTGATGTATGCGATGAAGTTGTGTCTCTCTTTCTCTCTCAATCTCTCTTTTTCCCTCTTTTTCGACGATTCTTTCAGACCGCACTAAACTTTATCTCCAACTTTTGCGTTCCGACTTTCTTCGATTAGGTTTGTTACCACATTGTATCTCCGATCGACATGGTCGTTCGAACAATTTCCGTTAATTTATTACATTAATTGAGCGCATCGTTTCGTAATCAAACTACTAGTTTACGAAATGTACGTTCTATCTCAATTTATCGCGGTTCATTCAATTTATCATGAGCAGACTGATCTTACATTAAAATAAAATTTTTGTAATATTCAATATTTATGAAATTATTATCGCGATTAATTTTCACATTGATAAACGTAACGTATGTATCTCTTGGAAGAGAGAAGAATCAAGTTTAAAAAATATTTCTGTATGATAAAAACAATCGATTTTTTAAAAATTTATTTTAATTTATTTTTTAATTTATTTTTTAACTTACTACATTCTTTTAAATATCTTTCATATTTTAATGAACGCATTTTTTACCTCCGCATAGTAAACTCTCGAATTTATTTATACTATGTTGAGACATAAATATACCGAACTAAGAGTGTACACAACTTGCAAAGTTTAGAAGAAAGAAGAGGGGGGAAAAGGAAGAATGGACAATGCATGAAGGTCGCCTTCTATGGCATAATAAATAATTCACGCAATTAAATATTTATCCGGCTACCTGTGAGCGGCTGTTTAGTAAATCCGGATATAAATCCTCGCAGGTCGCGCGCGAGCGTGGGTGCTATATACAGCATTAAACCATGTTTTCGCGTGCAGACACTATACGCTATATAGAAATGCCGGTTGCTCTCTCTGCGAAAAAGGGAGGTTTGGACGGATTAAATGGAGAGAGGGTCGTGAAAGACCAGAAAGGGCTCTCCCTATATACGGTATAGATCGCGGCGTGGGCGAACAAAGCGGTATTATACGAATATTTCATCGTGATAAAGACATCTCGAGTGCAAAGGGGGTGTCTATAGCCTGAATTTTTTCAAGTTATTGGGATTATCGGATCAGTAAAGCACGACTCATATTTAGTATAGATTTAAGAGATATTCCTAAAACGAATAAATTATATAAATGCTCACTAACAATATATCAATTTTATTAATATATTAATTTTATAACTCGCTGTGCTAATATATTTATGAAATTTTGTCTATTAAAAAGTTAAAAAGTAAAAATGGTAAAAAAATATATTTTTTGAGTATCTTCCTCTTATAATTTCTTCTCTTAAAATATAATATATTTTTTTAATTTAAAGAAAAAGATGACTAATTTATATTTAATTTATATTTAAAAAAATAATTCTTTAAGATTTTCAATAAAAAACTATTTACGTAATTATTACATAATAAATTATTTATCTTAAATAATTTAAATGATTTATCTTAAATGATTTAACATCATTTAACTTGTTTTAGTCAATAGCAGACTTTCATTAAAGTAAGAAATAGGCGGCTGCCATTATACGTATAATTTTTCTTAAAACGACACGCAAAAAATAAAATGGCGACACTTAAGAGAGCGGTTTTCTCAAAGGTTTTTCTTTTATCTTAAGCATTGCGCATTGCGAAAAGCGATAGCGATTAATCAAGTAGGGAAAAATGTCAAGGCGTAATTCGTCATTTACAAGATTATTAATTATTTCTGTCGGTTTTGTATACCGCCTGCCTGTTGGATCTTATCTATTGTCTGCCTATTCTCTCCCACAATGTGAAATATCTCTATTCTAAATAAATTACAATTAATGTTTCTTTAAATACATATAATGGATCTCGGAACAAATTGAAGCAGTCTTGAGCAGATGCGGAATGCCAATATTCAAGCGATAGCTTTTGAAATATAGGTTTCAAATTAGTCAATTACAGACTATGTTTAAGTGATCGAAATGCCGTTATCTTAATTAACATAGTTCGTGATTGATCAATCTTTAAATCTTAAAGAAATAAAAAACTGCAAGTATTTTTATTATATAATTTCTTAATGTAGTATTTTACTTTATAGATTTTATGTACTTTTATTTATATGTTACACAATTCTGTAACAAACATATTGCTTTGAAATTATAAAAGAGATAATTTATGTTTATATATATATATGTATAATATAATACATATATATGTATAATATAAATCTCAAAAAACAATTAACATCTACAAAATTATTATGTGTAATTCAATTATTTTATATATATTTATATAAAATATTCATTGATATAAATATTTTACTTGCAATATTTTAAGTATTAAAAGAAATAAAATTTAAAATATTTTAAACATGCTATATTATATGATAATTTAAAATAGAGAGATTACCACTATATACGTAAAGGTAATAACGAACATTAATATCACAAATAACAAATAAATTATAATTTACCTTATAGACATTGTTATTCGATGTCTTTCCAAGCCTCCTGCTTCACTCTTGTTTTTTGCTGCTTCTTCATTGATTGCATTCACATGACACTCGCGGCAATATAGTTAATTACAATCATATATGCATTAATTAGCAGAATAGTACACTTAAATCGGGCGATATTTTGTATAGTATTCATGATATTAATCACACGCGATTAATTATACACTATATGAACAGTAACAAAGAACAAGGCAAATATTATACGTTTCCACGAAATCATGATCATCGCACTCGAAAATCACATAATAAACACTACAGCAATGTTACTTGCTAATGAATAAAATACACTCACATTTTATAGTAACTTTCGTCGTATTTCTCGAAATATAATCACTAAAAATATTACGAGATGCCAAATACGGTCATTCCTTACGAATAATTAGAAATCATTTGCACAATTAATTAATTCTTGCGATTGACGTTTCTTTAAAACGAATGGAATATTTATAAAAGCGAAATTTTATTATTTTATAATATAATAAAAAAGATTTTGAAAGATAAATAAATATATAAGAGCTAAAATTAAAAATAAATATGTAAGAATCTCAATATTCGAGAATAATCAAGTAATTATTTGCTGATATAGTTTGCACAACAGAATTTCGATAAAATCGCGAAATACGTTCTTCGACAAATTACGATGTACAAACACCGCATTTATATAATATACGATTCATGAAAATTAAGATATAAAATTAATAACGCGATCGTGTTTAATAATTAAATGTGTGGCGACATAGCTCAATTCAAAGTCGATTTACTGTATTCATGATGTTTTGTCCATGACTAGAAACGAGAATGATATCAACTGAAAACCTTGACATTACGTAATATTACACGATGCTAGTTAAGATCGATAGATGTTTGAAAAATATATAATCAAAATCCATTATTGTAAATCTAATAAATTTCCAAACTTTAAATATCGTGAAGTATGATTTTCCGTTATTTGAATCAAACAAATGTTGCAATAATTCTTATCGTTGGTCGTAATAATTAATTAATTACGCAGACTGATGATTGCTAATTATAACAATTATAGAAAATGATCGCCTTTGGCATTTATTAATCTTCTCGCGATCGCGCATTTTGGAGAATAATATGACGATACACGGAACAAGTTTTCACTGCCGTTTCGCTCGAGTCTCAACGTATGAATGACAGAGTCACGAGGTCATGACTGACGTGTGTTGATGGTATGTCACTACGTCACAGTGAAATCGAATCCTATAACAAAAAGGCATTAGAGAAGGGGAAGATGACAAGGCCGCGCAGAGAGACGAAAAATTATTCGACAGTTATTTATCAACGTTTGTACGTGAAGGAAGGTGTATATCGTTCATCAATAATATTCTTTAATAATGATTCCATCTAGTCTTTTTATAAATCTAATTTTTCTCACGATTATTAATTATCATATTTTAACGATCATTAATTAATATATTATTAATTAACATTAATATCGATATCATGGTGTTGGATTACTCAAGTTATTCGATCCTGCAATTCGTATATTATTACGTTTATCTCAATTCGAAAATGATTAGTAAATTATATATTTGAACCGGCGAAAAATTTTTGAAGCACGAGGAGCGAATGATATTTATATTCGAACACATTTAACACTTTGAAATAATTATTGCTCGTAAAATCGCAGTGAAACAATTATTTATAATTCGAATTCCTATCTCTGATTCCTATCTCTGATTTTAATGTTTCGAATGAATATATCACTAGAAATATCTGTTTCGATAAATAACTGTTCCAATACGTTTAAAAAAAGTCATCGCGGGAATTAATTAATCGTGCTAGCTGCTATTTAATGAAAGAATGGAAAATATAAAACGTTGTTTCACTCCAAAATATTTATAGGCAACTATTTATTTAAATATACTTGGATTTTCGAGATATATATATTTCGTTTTGCATTTTTGTGGAGTTAAATTTAATTTAAATTATTTAAATTTAACTTGCCAATCATTTTCGAATTTTAAAACGCGCAATAATACACGAATCATATCATAAAATTGAATAATTAAAGTATTCAAAAGTCGTCTAATAGACATTCACTGATTGTTAATAATTAATTAAAAAATTTAAGATGAAACACAACATATTTATTATGTTAAATATTTTATGATAGATCGTTATATAGTACCCGTCGTAGGAATTCCGAGACTTGTTTATAACAGCGTGAGACCTTGACCTTGTTTGTATTCGCGCAGTAAGTCTCGAGCGAGGAATAGACAGCGACACAAACCATTCTGTGTGTTAATAATCACACTGATCTTTTAGACATTGTCTTTGAAATGCGATAATTACAATTAACGATTATCAGCTCACGCAAATGATTAACTCTCGTGATAAACGAACATCGTGTAATAATATCGTGGGATTATACACAGCAAAAATAGCATTATTGTAGAAAGTGATGTGTGATTTTCGTGCGAATTTTTGCATTGTTCTCTCATCGATATAATAAACTGCGCGTCGCGTGGGATTAAAGTCTGAATACCATATAAAGTGTCGTACAATTTATTCGTATTTTGCTGATTGTAATTAACTACGTTTTCGCGAGTGAGTGCAATTTGTGAAAGAACAGCAAGAAATAACCAAGAGAGGAGGAAGAGAGGTCCGGGAAAACATCGAGCGAAGCAATCGTTGGGTAAGCAATTTCTAATTCTTAATTTCTAATTATTAATTGTTATTTTTTAAATTTATTGCCGTGAGATAGCAATCTAAAAATCTTTTTGAAATTATTTTATAATAAAATATTCTAGGTTTTATTTCGAAATATTTAAAATATTTGTAATATAAATATATTTGTTTAATAAAATATTTTATTAATTATTTTTTATACAAATACATGTAAAACGTTTCAACATTTTATTTATTGAGATTCAAAATTATTTTAATAGAATTACATTTTTGAAGATTCATAAAATATTTTATAGAATTACATTTTTGAATTTAAGAATTACATTTTTGTTTGGCATATCTTATAAAAATTTAAAAAAAAGTTTTTTTTATAATTATTATATATTTTATTAAATATTAAAAAATAGATTTAAAAAATGTGTTTGCGAATAATATAATTAAATATTAGTTAATATTGATATTTAAATAGTTCAATTAATAATTAGTAAATTTTCTAAATATTAATTCTTTTGTAAATTTGTTTTATAAGATACATATCCCTTTTATATATGTATATATATACATATATATGTATATATATATGTATATATATACATGGAAAACATATAATCTAAAATATTTTTATTTTACAGATCAGCATTGTGTACTGTAATTCCGCTGCTGTGTATGAATCGTATTGGTAAGTTTAAATTATTTTCTACTTTATAATCTCGGAAAATAATGAATTTATGAGAATTGAGAAAATTACATATACATTTAATTGCAAAGAAAAAAATCGGTAATGTTGGAAACACAATGCAGTTGTTATTACTATATTCGTGAGTCAATATCGTGAGGAAATTTTATTTTGCAAAAAAATGGAAACGATTGAGAGAGAGATTAAACGATGGGTGGGAGATTTGAGATAAAAAAGGAGTAATGCGGTGGACTCGCGCGCGGCACCAAGCGTAACTTCGGAGCGCAGTTCGTGCGTGAGCGACGTAATAACATTTTGGGAGGTGGGATGAGAGGGCGATTCGACGAGATGGAGACGATAGCGGCGGCGAACGTAATGAGGATGCGACGAGGCAAGAGGCAATATAGGCGGGTGTACGTCGAGGATGGGATCGCTTCCGGTGGTTCTAGCAAAGGTAGGGGTGGAGGAGAGCTTACAAAGGGTAAGCGAGGACGAAGGTGCGTGGAAGCAGAAGCAAGGAGGACGTTCGGCTTCTTCCGAGCTGGCCGTGCACAATCGATCATTACGTTAAAGCTCTCTCAAAGCTCCTGACTTGACCGGTCATCGAATACCCTAGAGAGGGATGACTTTAACAAAGGGAAAGCGATAACGACAGGTGCGCGGCATCGAATGATATAACGAGAAGCGCAGTTATTGCAGCACGCACATCGCGTTCCAACTTCACCTGTAATCTGGATCAGGGTTGAATTCAATTTCGAAGCTTTCACGGAGATAATATTCGTTATCGATATTCAAATAAATCGTATAATCGCTATTAATTTCGCGGAAAGAATGAAATGGGATAAGTAACCAAAGCTCTGAGTGCTTCGTAAATATTTCGTCGCGATAAATCGAATAGAATCGAATTTCTTTTTTCAGTTATACTTTTCTTTGCGGCTCAAGTTTATGCGGAAAAAAATAATATTACTCGTGGTTAGAGAAGGATTTTTTTTTAACCATAAAGAGTTCGATCGATATTAAGCTGATACAAAGAGATTTACAATAGCGAGAAGTAAATAAAAATGAATTCTCTTTGTCCCGCGTGTTCGGAGATATAGCGTAGGATCGTTTTGATTCGAGTGCTATCGAGGTAGACGCATTATTGTGATATTGCGATATATCCGCATGTCGCGAGGAAGAGATTGCAGAGAAAATATCGTACGAATTTCGACACGTAATAAAACTTGGAATTATTCGAACAATTTGTTATCTAGATAACAAATCTTATCAATACAATCTTACAAAGTAATATATATAACCGATATATTTATTATGTAAAAGTGCATTAATTATAAGTGCAGCGGTATTAAATATTAAATTTAAAATGCAGAATTTTGTGCCGAGAGATTCAGCTAAATATATAATTACTATTAACTATTAAGCAAACTTTCAAAGGCTTTAGAGAGGAGTCGCAATTTTTGAAACATCTTATATATCGTGCTATCTTCTTTGAATACTAGAATTTTGATGTATCACACATATATATCATGTCTCCTGCTTCAAGAAGCGAATTGATGCGGGGATCTCATCTCGCGAGATTGAAATTTTTCTTTTCGAAAATGCACCAAATTTGTTATCTAGATAAATATCGTCACTCTCAATAATTTGGCAAAATTTAATTCGCAAAATAAAAGTAAATAAATATTTCAAAATTTTTTAAAATTTCTTTATAAATATTTTAAATTTTTCTTGAATCTTACGAATTTCGATGCTTGTAGTAAAATATTATTTTTTTTCCATCATGAGATTGTTGAGAAATGTTTAAGAAATTTTAACAAAATTTTTAAAAGTTTTGTTACAATGATGTTCTAGAATTCATAGCTGATTAACATAGCAAGTTGATCGCTTCAAAGGGATACTACAACAGCTAATATAAATCTAATATACAATGAATACGAATGCTTGTTATATCCATTTATGAGCTTTGAATGTGCAGTTCGAGATTGATCAATGAGCTCTAGTTATGTTCCCACTTGAAAATACCCTTGACTTGAACACTTGATAGCCAGATATCCAATTATTGCTCACTGCTCTATTTAGGCTTCGATTAGACGCATTATAGTTGTGCAATCACCGGTTTGCCATCGTCGTCTCCTAATCTTGTTTACCAATGACATTAAATACAACTTCACATTTTAGCATTATAAGTTTATAGTCCTCAATTTATATTTCAGATAAATCCCCTAAATATTCGCTATTATAAAAAATTTAGAAAGATAAATAAAAAGAATTGATTATAGTTGTTTTCACGTTGACGATCATCATCAGGCGGAGCGAATTTTTCGTGCTATTTCCAGACCTCCCTCTATCTCGGGCGCGGATAGTCGGCGCCGACACCGGTTGTAAATTAAATAAGAGCACTTTCGCCGGCGATTGCGCTCGCGCGTTTGAGATCGAAAATATTCGACATTTCCGTCAATCTCAATTTATCCGGCGATTTCGCGGCCCCCCGCGATTCGTACATCCAATTTTCCCGGCATCTGCCGATGGCCGCCGCCTCCGCCTTCGGGGAAAATACGGTCTGTTCGAGCGTTTCACGATGAAATTCACGGGAAAATTCGCGGGATTTCCTCGAATGCGACCGTTCCTTCCTTTCACGCGCGCGTGGGATATGAAAAATTTATTCCGCGTCTAAGGACGTCTAAGGCGCGGGGGCGAGAACTTTTAATTAATCCCGTTTAATGCGAGCGTTTGTTCTAGCGATAATCTGGATTTGCCGGTTTCTTCGCGTCTTAAAGTTTTTTGACCGATAACCGTGGTTCGTTGCATCAATGATGAGAAGTTACGAATAACTCTCGACGACGGAATTTTCAGATGGTATCCAGAAAGCTATTGCTATCATTGCATTAAAGAAATGCGTTTTTTTTTTTATGAAGAAAGCATTAATAATTTCTATCAAATATAACAATCTTTGATACTTTAAACAACACGCGACATGTATTCTAGATGCGTTCACACTTTAGAGTTTTTGAATATAATAACAATATGTTATAAATAATTTATATATAATAACATTATGTTATAAATGATTTATAATTATACTAATTATAGTAGCAATCGCGCGCGGATAGTATAAAATAATATTTTTATTGTAGCAATTTTTGTAAACATTGTTATTCAAAAACCTCATATCGTTTTATCTTTTTAACATCCTGTTTGGATTCAAATCCGCAATTCATATATTCGCAACAAACGCATATCTTTACAAGTTGATGCAAAAGGGAAATCGGTTATATTGTGTATTTTACCACTAATGGATGGTATAACTGCATGCAATCAATTTGTGTTTATTATGTTATAAAAAAATCATGATTTAAAGTTTTTACGAGGAGAAATAGTAACCACGGTAAAAAACCTTTTCGATCCATTTTTCCGACAGATGAATCTTATCTATCTCTCATAGAGTTTAAAAATTTACTATTAAAAAAGAAAGATATAAATTATAACAAAAGAATCGTATATTTAAAAAATGTTATTTATAATAAAATATATTACATATATATTAATTCTCAATAAGAACAATCTTGATATTTTAACATGAAGCAGCGTTGCAAGAATTTTAGTTATAATTAAAAGCTTTACGATAATAAAATAAAAAGTTGTACCGGATATGACAGGGCAAAGATTCCGATAGACATATTCGTCGATAAAATTCCAATCGAGGAGCTATCGTGTTTCTATCTTTATCGAGATAGATGGTGAGACTCGTTCTCGGAGAAAAAGAAAGGGCTGTATATCTCAGAATCAACGGATTAAAGGGCTGGCAGCTCTACGATCCTGAAGAGTAGCGCACAGCCTATCTGAACGGAACTGACGTCATCTGCCAAGGTATCTAGATAAGGAAGAACTACACGGATCGGCTTGGCAATGGACCAGCCACCAAGGTCGTCTAATCCTCGGATCAACCAGTCTGGAATTGTGCCCTCGATGTATCTACCAGCCGACTCAGACATATTTCTAGTGTAATGCGTCCTGTCGTTGGCTTCGAAGAAGGGCAGGGGAAAATATGCTATGTAGAAAATATTATAAGGAAACTCGTTTATGGATAATATAAACGAGATAATTCGGGAAAAATTAATTCAGTCTATCTCCATATCGGAATTGGTTAGATTAATCTAAATGATAACGTTGTTATTCGATCATTTCCATAGTAATATTATTGCTTTAGTAGATCAAATGTTTGTTTTCTAATTTTCTTCCGCAGATAGATATGATGATATGATTTTATGTTTTTATGATTCGATAACAAAGATCGGAGTTATAGGCTTCCATCTCCCACTCTTGTCTATCTAACATTTCATATTCGCCTCGTACGAGTTTATCACCTTAAATAGACGAATATGTGAGAGGATGGATAGGCCAGACTCTCGAAGTCTACATGCATCGATGTCGGCTCGAGAGTTAGTCTGGCACGTAACTTTGTTAATATAATGTAATTATTGCTGGCTGTACTGATTAGTTCGGGTCAGACGGGGCGCGAAATAAGGATAGCGGCGATGCCTTAACATCCTGGCACTTAGATCGTAGCGTCTCCTGTTTATTACATTGCGGTAGTATCACCCGATGCGCCGCAATTTTTTTTCTTCTTTCCGAAACAGCCTGTGACTGTGTGTTTATTGCTTAACGTGAGAAATATGTTTGCTATCAGACTCTTATTCTGGCAATGGTACAACGATGGGAAAGTGCAGATTTTTTAATCCTTTTTCTTCGTGGATTTTACAGTTCAGTATCCTCGAATATAAATTCTAAGCAATACATATTTCATGAAAGATTTTTAAAATATATTTCAAAATTAAAAAAAAATAGAAAAATTAAAAAAACAAAGAAAATGTTCTCATAAAAATAACAATAGTACTTTAAAAAAAATACTAATCATTTTGAAAGATACTATATATTTTGTTTTATTGTCAAATACACATAAAATGCAAAATTTCTACAAAAAATCTGTAAGTCGATTACATTAT